CTTCTTTTTTTTTTTTTTTTTTTTTTTTTTTTTACAAATTCGATTTTTCTTATGATTTTTAAAACTTACTATTTTTACAAATTTTTTTGTACAACTTTTACATACTTTGTTTTTCCATTTTATTTTTCATTTTCATTTGTACAAATTTAGTTTTTTTTTTCACATAATTATTTCTTTTATAACTTTTGCATCTTTGTTTTTATGCATATATCTTAAAGATTTTTCCATTTTTACATCTTTGTTTTTTTTTAAAGACTTCCGTTTTTATAAATTCTAATGTAAATATGTTGTAACTTGTACATACATAAATTTTTATCATCCAATTACTTGCACCATTTTAAATTTTAATCCTTTCCAGGGTTTCCACCCCAACGCGCAAGCATACAACACCTGGTTTTCATTAAAATACAGTAATCATTTTTATGTCACATCCAAAACAACCCCTACATAAAATATTGAGGATTCTCTATAAATATCAACTCAACCCATATCAATATACCAAATCAATTGTTCCACAGCCTAAACTAGTAACCATCTGCTCAACCCTGGTCAACACATAACACATATTCATTCAATCCCGTGGCATGATTTATCTTAATCATCTATTGATATTCCTAAAAGTGGGTCCGTGCTGTCCTTACTGGGGCCCTCATCTTTAGAATCTGAGCTTGATGAAGATGGAGAAATCGTCACTTCATCAATGACTACAATTCGTGAAGAAACACTTGATGCAGGAGACTTTGGAACAATTCCTTGTGCTTCCATGGCTTCACGAGCCGCTTTCTCTTTCGCCTTTTTAGCTCTTTCGACCACTTCATCCTGCATACAAGTCCAAAGTTGAAATCAATTATTTATGCAACAAAATGGATTTCTTACCAATTTACGAAATTAGGTATTAATAATTACAACTCTAGTCTAGTAGCTTCTAGAATGAAAAGAAAATTGATTTAGTACCTGAAACTCCTGTACTTGCTTTTGTTGTTCAGCTTGCAATCGGCCAACTGTACTCAACAACTCACCCACAGCAGATTCCACACGTTCATTAAGTGCTTCTGCAAGAGCCTTCCCCAAGAAAAATGCATCCAACACTTGTTTACTTTCATTTTCACCTGCATATTTTCCATTTTTTCTCATCAAGTTTAACAATTTGCAAGGCTATCATTGGGTATATTTTTCAAAGTACAAGTCTTAATAAAAAAAATAAAAATACAAAAGTATAATGTTGTAATAGACAAAAATGACAGTAGTATGCTATAATACACAAATAAATGAAAGTAGGTTGCTATTTTTGCATTTAGCCCTTTAGTGCTTGTGTATGCACTATGCAGTAAAGAGCGCAGACCTACATGTTGAAAAACCTATATAGCACACATTAAAATCAAATTTGTAAATTTCTACCAAGTGGTTTGCTTTTAAGGCAAACAAGTCCGGGTTCAAGTTCTTCAAATCGAGCTATTATGAGTGTATACAAATTCCATCCCAATTTGACTGAAAAACTCAAAACGTATATCTGATTTTTGTAAGAAGATGAAGATGTTATAAGCACCCCTGAATACAAAGACTCTCAGATCCCATCACCAAATTCTTGATTGAATACTTAAAACCAACCATAAATCGAAAAACAACTCAATCCAAACGTACAAAGTACAAACCCTCTAGAAACCCAATCTTTGTAACGCAACTACCCTCATAAATGTTCATTTCCCAATCCCAATCTGCAAAATTACCCCAAAAGTCGAATTCAATTACTAAAAATTATCCCCAAATTGTTGAAACTCAACAACAGCTGATTACAATTGAACTATAAACAAAACCCCCCATAATTTCATAACACACAAACATTAAAATTTTCAGTACGCATTACGTGTAGAGAAGAGGGGGTACCAGGAACAGGGCCACCAGGTGTGCTGCTGTTACAATTGCACCTAAAACGATGTCTCGGAAGAACCGGTTTCTTCTGCAACAACATACCCACTGCTCCCTTGCCATGACGATTGTTTGTGGATTTAAGGCAGAGAGATGCAGAAACCGATGAATTGGAGTTTCTAACGATTTGGGTGTTGGATGGAACACGAGAATATGCGGTTGGTGAAGAAATTGCGGTACTCATCTCTCTATTAAGTTGTGGAGGGAGACGAGAGATCTGGTTTGGGTTTGGGTTTGGGAATGGTGACTTCAGAAGAATGGGATGATGTAAATGCTATAAAAGTATAAGACAGTACTCTGTACCCGCCATAAGCTATTTCTTTCGTGGACCAGTTTCTGTTGGATTCTCGGGGTGGGCTGATTATGCGACACGTCATACTCGGTCCGGACTCTGGATCTATAAAAATCAATCCAATCAAAACTGGACCAAAATTAAACCGCTGGATCGGAAAAGGAAATTCCATGTCTTCTAGATATTAACTACAGTGATCTTACTTACGACTACGACAAAACTTGTCAAACAAGTAGGCCGATAGTTGTCTCGAAAAATGCTATATGGAAAAGTATTGTCTAAAAAAGTTTACTGACCGGTAAAGAAATCATGTTGTTTTGTTATATTGCAATGTTAAATAATAAAAAATATCATTTAAAATCAAAATACAAATTGTCATATAAAATCAAAATTACTCAAAATGTATGTTAAAATCAAAATGTTTGATTGAAAAAATATATATAAAATGGTCCTCCTAAATCATATGCTCGAAAATCAAAAGAAAGAAAATAATATGAAACAGATGAAGGTTCATGTTTGGTACTTTCCAATCAGAAGAAACAAATCAGGGGAAAAAAAGATGAAATGGTTACATGTGGGGCGGAGCTGTTGACTGCAATGATGCTAGAGCTGGCAAAAATCGACCCAACCCGAAACCAACCCAAAATTAGCGGGTTGGGTTGACATTTTCAACCCATTTAACTTAAATGGGTCAACCCGTTTAACCCATTTAATGAAATAGGTTGGATTAGGTAAAAATTATCAACCCGTCAACCCATTTAACTTTAATATATATATTTAATTTAATAATTATTTGAATATTATCATGTATTAATCAAAGTATTAATTTGTAAATTATAATGTTGTATTACTATTATCTATGTTTAATAAAATTCAATCTGTCACACCCCAATACAATAACGGCGGAAACGTCTGGGGGCGGATAGAGTGACTTCATGTACAGTATCATAACAATTGAATATTAATGAAACATAACAACACAAACATTCATACATTGAAATTTCAAGTAATTCATTGTTTACAAAACTCTATTGTTCAAAAGTTGAATACAAATAACTGAAAAGTAGGAAATCATGAGACGACGACGCCGACCCTCAAGAAGGGTTGAGTACTTGTCTACGGGTTTCCTGAGAATACAAGTGATTTTGAAAAGTGTCAACAATTAAGTTGGTGAGTTCATAAGCATTTTTGCATAAAAAGGGTTTGTAACTGTTTCGCGAAAGATGGTTTCGTACATTTCCAGAAAATCTGATATTTTCTTTAATATGACCTGAAATTTGTAAGTAATTCCTTTGAATATTTTCCTGGTAAAGTCATAATGTATATTTCCAGAAAATCCAGTATTTTCTTAAAGGTGAACTGTGGTCTTAAACCCTAATACCAAGATGGTAGTGAATATTGTACAGAAAATAGTATATAGTTTCATATCTTTTTAAAACTAATGAAGTATAAGCTTCCCGTAAACCAAATATTTCGCTAATCTCTATGTGAGTTCTTATAACCATGCTAATATGACTGATATGCCTGAAACGACGTTCTTAAGGCGTCGGATTCGGTAAGACATTTGTCACCCTAGACTTAACGGTCTAACTGTAGCGAACAACTGAGGTGTGGGGTTGTCAATCTCGTATAAATCTATACACAACGGTCTCGCTCTCCCTCCAGGAGACTCTGGTTATAACGCAGGACTTAAGGTGTACGCTAGGTAGTTACGGTGAATGAAAGTCTCACAAGAGCATTAACAGATTTACGTGAACTATGACTCCCCTTTACTTGCAAACTGAGATAATTATACCTTTAAATAATTATATGTAACTTTGAAAGGTGTGGTTTGTGGCTTCCAAACTATACCAATTATAGTTTATCTTGTTGGTTTGAAACTATTTATATAATCTTTTATATAAATATAAAGGTGTATTCTAGCATGAAAATATGAAATCAAAACATAATATTTTGGTGTTAAAACCCACTAGATTAGTAAGTGACTATAATGTGCCATTTCTGCTAGTAAAGTTATCTTTTAGTATAAGTTCCCAAAAGCCATGTAGTTTACAAATCATAACTTTTCTTATGATTTTATAACA